TCTGCCAGACTTCATCCCTAGTTCTAAGCAACTATGAAGACCTGCTACAGGTAAAAAGAGAAATGGAGGTAAAACCTTCTCAGTAAGAGTAGCCAGTGTTTCCCCAATAGATCCATCATCAATGAAACAGAAAATAGCTTAGAAAGGCTCCCACGTCTTTGTTGATTTCAATGTGGAACAATGAATGTTTCCCAGTCTATTTATGCCAAATAAAAGTTTTTATGAGAACCTGTATTTAGTAATGGTTAAAGCATCAGGCTAGAAATCATAAGATTTCAGTTCTAGTCCCCCGCCAACCCTTAGGAAAAACCCTGCAAACAAATCTGCAAGAATTAGTCAAAGCAGTCATTAAGGGATCAAAAAGTGACTTGAAGGTACACAAATGCAAATGCAAAAAAATAATAATTAAAAAAATAGCCTTTATAAATTAATATATATCAGACCTGCTTCCACTTAAATCTCTAATTAGAAAAGATTCTTGACTCCATTTGTTGAAAAAGGTATAATTTTATTAGAAGTCAAGTGCATTGCAATAGTGCATACCCAGATGAGAATCGCATGCCAAAATCCCTAAGTTCAATAGGCGAGTGTTATATACTGACTCCACATTTCAAATGCCCTCTTCAGTTGATGTCATGCAAATACTGAACAGCATAAGAGAATGATTAGACCCTTGTGAGACCCATGAGATACAAATCTCCTTTCTTTGCTACCTCGTGGATGAGAGAGCAGATAAGAAAAACAGCCATGACTGCACATTGTGACTAGCTTTGACCCAATCCCACTTCCAAACCAATTGAGACAGTACTATATCAATTTGCTCTTGAATTCCTGTCCTGCTATTGTAATAGAAGCTTTGAGAACATTATAAACCAACACCTTCCAACATGGGATGCAGAAGAGGTAGCAGGGATAAATGATCTGGGGGTGGGGAGGTGTGGGTGGATTCTAGACAATAACAGGGAAACATAGTGGGAATAAGAAAGTCGTGTCACTGCCATGTCTAGGAAACTAGTTTCTGTATTGTAGCTATTCCTTGCCTTAATATTTTCCAGAGATGATCTCTCCATAGTGGAGACCATATGTTACATGAAAAGAATAGCATAAAAATTATTCACATATGAGTCAATGTAAGTAATACCAAGACTGGGCTTGCAAAACAGTGCTTCAATGGCTCTGATTATTCCTGGGTGCTGTAATTTCAAAAACTGATAGTTTCTGTTATTCAGACTAAGGGGAGAAAAGTAGAGTTTTCAGAGCTCTGGACTTTAATTCAATGTCTGTGTGGATGATTGTGTGGCTTTGTCCTTTTTCTTCACCTAAATCTTCCAGGAAAGTGATAGGGTATCTCAATTTAAATATGGATAGGGTATTGGAAAGTATGAGGAAAATCAATCTGCAATACGTGTGACAAAATCAATTTGGACAGTGGTGTAGAAGGGATTCTGCATGGGATTGCACTTTCCCTGAAAATTCAGATGAGAAAACTGGAAGTAGTCTTGGATATGATCATATGTGGAGAAGCCCAGTTAATGGCATAAACCAGGAGTACTTTATTTTAAATTAGTGAAGATAATTGTAGCCAGACCAAGCCTCAATTATCCATGTGTTAGGCATTTCCAAATTGTATTAGCATAACACTTTACAGGCTAATGCTTCTGAAACTGACTGAAAAATTGCAGCTAGGTGAAAATATGATTGACCAGATATTGGACATCTGAGCACCAGCTTAATCAGCTGTCTCTATGCATATTCAATACCTACATGGGTTATATGAATGCCTGTCTCCATCTACATTATCCACCCTGATCATGGTTGAAATCAGCTTTGAAATTGGCTTTCTTTGCTTCCCTGATTTGTAGGAGCATTTTTAGATGATAATACCACAGTGAGGCCTCCTATAGTGGCTCCTGAGCTTTGAAACTACCTTTCCTCTACTATTTAGTGGCTGAGTTTACACTTGCTCGAAGCCATAATGGAGTTAGCTTTTTTGTAGCTCAGCACAAGATATGGATCCAGAGCCCAGACATTATGGTTATAAATTGTGGCTTATGTCTAATGTGTGCATCCAATCAACTGAGATAGTTTCTCCTGGTCCATCTTAATCTTGGAAATTTCAGGCTGCTATCCTCAAGTGGAGGTGTGAGTTGATATCATGCTTCGTAAAAAAAAAAAAAAATCAGCTAAGAGTGGTAGGCAGCATTACCAGCAAAGTGTCAGTTGTTTGAAAAACTGAAGGATCACCTCAGCTCCTGCTGCAAGATTCCTCACTGGAGCCTGCAGATTCTGTGAAAGGTCTTAAGAGGCTATTGGAGACCTACTTCAAAGGCTGGCTAGTACAAATGTAACAGTCACCTAAAACGGGTAGATCAACTATAACCCTGAGTGTCAGGGTTCCAACATGCCCCCCCAAATCACAAATCTCTAGCTGCATTTCTCAGAGTAAAAAATATTGATTTATTAGGAGTTGACATGTCGGTGCTTCCTGGTTGCAGCTGACTCTGACACATTTATTTCACCCTTGACCTTGGTCTCCCCCCACCCCCCATGTATATTCTCCAATGAGACACATCCATAGCCAAGAGTCATCAATCATGTTCTCCAGTAATAATCTTGCACGCCAACAGCTTTGGTTGCCAAGGCGATTATCTGAGGCATTTAAGGATGCACTGCTTCCCCCACTCCCTTTCTGCTGGCAACTAAAAAGACCAAAGGAGTATTTTTTAGTTGACACTAAGTTCATCTGTGTGACTTTTCATGACATGTGTATTGTAACAGCTTTTGATGATACCTCACATTAGCCAGTTCTCTTGGTGAATGTCTGCTTAAGTTTCCTGTGGTTTTAAAAATTTTAAAAACATAAAAGTCTTTGTTTAATTGTTCCAAGATCCACAATTGATTAAAATGTCTTAAAAGAATTGGTAGTGTTGGATCTAAAGAAGGGTCCATTCATAATTCCTAAAGTTTGCCAACAACTAGATCAGAAAGGTTTCTAACTTTAATATCAAGCTGATCACAGTTGTTTGACAATCACAGATAAGTGCCATTCTAACAGGAGGTGCTGAGCTTACCACAGTAATTAAAAGCTACAGGAAAGCTTTCAGTACCAGGAATCAAGACTCTTTTTCTTTGTGTATAGGATTAAATCAAATAGTCTTATTACATTTGCTACATTAGCAGGATGCAATTTAAGGCAGCTCTTACCATCTTTTTCATTTGCTTTTATTTTTCTTCTTCTAAAGGCCATTTAGAGGTTTAGAAATTGTATTTTTTGCTGCATGTAGTAGTAACTGCAACAGCCACAAACCTTTCTCAGAAACTACACACCAGACGTGCTTTAAAAAGAACACTTCAGTATGCAACTGAAATTATGCTTTATCAGAATGCAGCAACATTTGAGGGATATTCTGGGGAAGAATAGGATGACATTAGTGGCAGGCACCAATCTGGTCTTTAATAATATAATGGCTTCTGAATGAAGCCCTACCATAACATACCCTACCTAATACTTGAGGGAATTATATATCAGGAAGTGATAGGAAATGGTGGCTGATTGATGATGGCTTTCTCTGCTGCATTGTTGTTGGTAACTTTGACTGATGTTTCTAATTGTACAATATTTTTTTTTAGTTTTCATGATGCATTTTTATTATCTCACATTCTGTGCAATGGGTGGCTACATAAATGTGATAGATAAATTTTCTCAGAAAGATCCTCGCCAACACTGAACTCTTAATTTCAGAAAGTTGAGTTTCAAGGTTAAAAACATTGCCTGCATTAGTTCTCCATATGCATATAGTGTCACAGTAAAAGCAGGAAACCATATGTTTTTAATTGAGGCTATTCTTCTGGTACAGGAATCATCCCCTCCCCCAAGTATAAGATGTTCTACAAAAAAGCAACCCACTTCATTGCTTCACATCTGTATGAATGCAATAAGCATTTGTCTTTAATTGTGTGAAACATTTTTCCACTCCTAATGTTTGTAATATACTGTGATTTTTAAAGAATTATTAATATTTATCATTTATTGTTCTTTTATATGCTTCTAGAGTAGACTGCACTTTGGTACCCAGATTTTGGGGGTAATATCAACTTCCATAGACAAAGTGGAATAATTTATGAAGAAAAATGCAAAGCATGATATAAGTACTTGCATGACAGCCCCATTAAAAAAAAAAAAAACAGTCCAGACATCAACCTGGTTGGTTCCTCATTCCTTTCTAATTACATTACATTTTTAAAAATGTTTTGATTCATTGTATATTTTTCTTAGTTCGGGAATGAAGAAGCTATGTCCCTATAGACATTGTAAGATTACAATTATTATGTGCCTTTTCCACTGGCCACTGCTAATTGGGGCTGATGGCAGTTCTAAACCAAATCATCTGGAGAATAACTGATTGAAAAGCCTAATCTATAGAAAAGCCATAGAACTGTGATTTTTTTTTTTAAAGTTATTCTCTGATGGTCCCCTCTAGCAAAATGTCCAGGATCATTCATGCATTCTTACTAAAGAATGGGGAATGAAAGGCAGATGATAGGCTTTGCCATTTTACTAAGATCCTTTTTTCTCAAGTTAATGCATTTGAATGTGCATCTTTTCCAGGTGGCTTTTACGTGCATCATTTTTGCTTTCTCTACATTTCACTAAAGCAAGTAAATAGCCTGCCACTAATGCTCGATCAAGTGGAAGAATGTTTACTGCACTACACCAACCCCAGCCTCAGTGAACTCCGAGGCAGACTGCAAAGTTCTTGCACATTACCATTCAGGGCTAACAAGAGAGAACAATTTACTCAGAGCAAGTCTACCAAGTGTTTTTTTATGGTAAAAGGCTTGGACCATGTATAACAGGATATGGATGACCATCTATCAGACCATATAACAAGAATCAGATATGGTTCCTCATCTTCAGATCCCGTGAATCATCCTTGTAAAAATTAAGGCCAGAACAGCCCGGCAACTCAAGTGTCAGTAAAGTCTGTGTAATACTGTACCTGTCTGCCATCTTTCTGGTTGCATGCCTCGATTGTGACTTGTGAGCCAGTAGAAAAGGAGGTGATTGAGAGACACTTGTCCTGCTGTCTGATTAAAGGGTCACTGAAAATCCACTCCTTTGGGGGCAGAAAGCAAGAAGAGAATTTAGCATAATGTGATAGTACGGTAGCCCCCATCCCCCAAGCCACGGCCCATTACCAGCTTGTGGCCTATTGGGCTGTGCGAGTGGCTGGCTGGAGTGCGTGCGTAGCTCAAGTTGTAACCCAGAGGGCACTTGTACGCATGCACGCCAGCCTGCCGCTTGCATAATTCAAGCTGCATGCATGTGCGCTAGCCTGCTACTGGTGCAGCCCAGTTCCCCTCTCCCCCACACCTACCCCAGCCAAGCTTCAAAGGTTAAGAGACTGCTGTGATAGTACAACATTTCCTCAATCATACCTGTTAAATTTATAGCCTTTTTTTTTTTTTAATAGAAAGCCTGGCTCAAACATTTCCCTCTCTTACATACAATTGCCTTTCAGCAGGGATCTGCCAGGGAAGGAGAAAAATGGCATAAATCAGGAAAATGTGCGTCCTGTTTTCAGAAGAATCTGTAATTGCAGCAGCATTTTTGTATTACTGTGGTTGTTATCAGTGCTTGCAAAAAGTAATTGTAGGTTTCCATTGTAACAGAAAGCCCTCAAGGCTCTTAGGAAATCAGCTGCCTGCTTTCAAGGTTTATCTAATGCATTGACTAGGTTAGTGCCGTGAATGAGTTTGTGGGAATAACACTTATTTATTTTACTTTATTACTTTATTACTTGTTTGCTACTTCTGTTTGCAAAATATCCAAATTGAATAAACAAAGAAATGCTGTTCCAGTTATTCTCTTAACATCTACCCAGTTTAAACCCTGACGCAGCCCATACCTTGAGAGATGAATGGTCCAAGGTACTTTCTTATGGCCCTTAGTGATCCCTCTACCAACCCACCTAGTTTTGATCTGCCTCACTTTGTCTAAACGAAATTGGACAGAATTAGATATGATAGATATGGAATAAGTGCCCCCGCCCCGTATCAGTGGGGATGGAAAGATTCCCCTTGTTTGGATTGTGGGGCTCATATGCAAACTGCTAACCGTATTGTGCAAGATTGCCCATGATGTGCATTCTATGGTTCCCTAGAAGATCTGCATGAAGCAATGCCAGAAGTGGTTACCTGAATACCTTAATTGGACAAGTAGTTATGAGGCCACTACTATTGCCAGGACTCCCCCATGGGAGTTTTACTTAGAATTATGTGAACTGTGTATGTAGGTTTACTTCTCTTCTATCATGTTCTCATCATACACTAAATGACAAATAATAATAATTCAATTTGGATGCCACCCAATGCCAACAGATCATTAAACATGGGTAAAAAGTGGTGGGAGAAAATGTTACTATTCTGTGTTAAATTGAAGAACAATGCTGGTTTAATAGTGCAAACTCAATTAAGCCAGATATTGCTGATGTTCTTGGCAGCTGCCATCATTTTAAAAAGCACTGTCCCATGGACTGGAATTGTTTACACCATGTTTACCAGTATACAAATTGCTAGGATGCAAACACTGCACACACATAGAATAAGTACACTTTAAATAAAATTACTGTGGTGAATAGAGCAGTTGTTGTTTTTTTAAAAAAAGATGGTCAATATCCATATAAACCACTCAGTGATGATATTTTTAAAGGTCATTTTTTGAGTACAATGCCTTTTGAAAGGGCAAGAAACTATTTGCATATGTGAAACTGTGAAATCATGATGTAATTTGGAAAATAGCATTTTTGGTACTTTTATTTATTTAGCTTTGAAGCTGCCCAACTCCACAGCAACCCTGAGCAGTCTACAAATAAAGAAAACAAAGTATTTCAAGAATAAAACATGTTTCTTAAAATAATCTGGTACAATTCAAAATTCCTCACTTCACAGGGACTTCACAGCATTCTAGTTAGCCCCCTCTAATTGGACAATAGTTTGGGACTATCTAGTCTCCTGCAAGAAGACGGTCTCCTATCTCCTAACAGAATGTGGGGAAGGAAATTATTGCTGATTTTTTATGGTAGTACACCACAGAGTTTCCATTCTCTCCATAATTGTCTATCACTGCACTAAATCAGCTCTGAAATGCTGCATCCTTTAACACTCTGAAAAGGTGGACTGGGGTCTATAAACACCATAATGTTTCTTCTTCTCCTCCTCTACCAATAAGAATATTTTGGCAGGAAGTGAGCTGGCTCCATTTCATTTACTGGTCCAAAGAATTCAGTTTTCTCCATTGGCTACTTTTAGCATAGGCTTTACTGCAATAGAGTCTGCCCCTTAATTTCTGGAGCAGAAAATCATCTTTTTTAAAAAAAAATCTTATACAATAGGAGAACATCTCAGCCAGTTTTTAATCTGTTTCATCAGCTCTTGTCTATGGTGTCACTATATGCAATGGATCATTAGGGATGCATTTCAACACCCTTAACAAACCAAACAAGAGTAAAAGCCAACTTCATTGATTTATCCTCTCGCCTAAAAACTATCCGTTCCCATAGACAATTGATATATGCTCTCTTTGTTTAAATAATTCCCTGGACATAGATACAGTTCAATGAACTTCAGCCATTTCAAACAACCACAAAATAGCTCAACAAATCAAATGAAAGAGCATGCTGGATGCAGTCTGCTCACTCATTCCCAACAGATGCAAGTAAACTTTTGCTGGCACCCGGTATTGTATTGTAACCTTTTGCTTACTCAAGTTGCTAGCATCTAAAATAATTCTCAGGAAAAATCCTAAATTTAGACAATGGTATTAATTTATACCATTTTGTTCCATCATCCCTTGGACTATATAACTGTTTTATTGCTATCCATAAGAAATTGCAGGGAAAGGAGCTAATATTTCAAGCTATTTCTGGATATTTTCAACTGACTTTTATTTAAATACAATACAGTGATATATAATCTATTCAAGAAAAAAAAATGAGCTTAGTATATCCTCTAGACAATTTGTCATCTTTTATTTTCCAACATGATGCTCAGAGCTACTCCCAGTGCAATGCTCTCTCTGACTTTTTACACTTTAAAGAATTCTTTTAATTTCTTTTATAGAAAAGTGGCATGCTGCCAGCATGATTTTCATATCTGGGAATGCTTCTGGGCTCAAATGAGCTTCAAAAGATTTTTTACAAAATAAAAATAATGAGTAGCAGCATTTGGGTGCTTAAATTGGAAGTTTGTTCATTGGCATGGAAAAAGGACAAAGATAAACAGAGATAATGGAGGAAGTATCTATACATTGGGAAAATTTATTAAACGTTGATTTCTAATGGTTATATCTTTCATGGCAGTAATTTTTGGAATAGGTAAGTCATTTGTAGAAGTTATTTGATAAATTCTTAACACTGAAGCCCCAAATGTTAGGGAATCCCTGAAGAATTTCACATCATTTCAGAATAAAATTCATCTTGTGCAGCAGCATCTTTGATTGTTACACCAGCATTACCTGTGATAATATATTAAACAGAACCTGCAACGGTATAAATATGCTGCTTGATCTGGTAATTTAAAATTGACATTTTTTTCTTTAAATTTTCCTTCAGGAAGTATTATTTGGGGCTTGTAGGCATTTCAGGGAATCTATCTGTATAAACATGATAAAGGTAAATGCATACTATGGTCTTCACTGTTCATGTGTGCAAAGAACTACATCAATATTCTTAGAACATGCACTCATTTCGTATTCTCTTTCTTCATAGACTGAATTTTATAGAAAAAAAGATTGCATCTGAAACAACTTTAAAAAAAGAAGATGTTGAATTTCAAAATATCATCATTATCATACTCTAAAAGAAAAGTATTTCCACCCTATGTTTTCCACAGGTGAGATGGATGGCTGTACAAGATGAATAGTTTTTAACAAAAATCCTATTCTACAATCATAGTTGTCTATAGCTTTCTTTCTTTCTTTCTTTCTTTCTTTCTTTCTTTCTTTCTTTCTT